CCGAAATTACTACGTAGTGAATGTGCCAAAAATCGCGTATGTTCATGTACACGAATAAAAAAAAGTTGAAGCGCGAGTTCTAAGATTTTTGTTATCGGTCCGCAGTGAACAAGGTTACGGCATTCACCGATCACAAATCAAAAAGCGGTGACATAAAAAGCCGTGCGATTTTTAGGCTAACCGCGGGTATGGAACCACAATATGTTGCAAACATAAGATCTGCACACAAGGCTCGTCGCGCAGAGAGCAAAGCTCCACCCACACATAAGAGGGCTGGTGTACCAGTCTTCGTGATAACTGCTGCCTCGTGGCAAGGCACCATCTGCTCTGATTACCCATACAGTGTGCCGTGTGTTTCAACGAAAACTTCCGACATTCCGGCCAATAGCGTGGTTGAGAAAAAATAAAGAAGAAAATAGACTCTTTTAGGAAACAAACTGCCATCCACGGCGGACGTCAGGAACTGCAGAAAAACATAATAGTTAGCTATATAAGTGACTAATACTCACTAGTTGACCTTTGTGAAAATAAACATATGGCTCTAATTACACTTGCCAAACGTAATTGAAAACCCCTAAATAAACCAATTTTTAGGAAGACAAAGCACACGTGCGCTAAACTTACTACTTGTGCAGCAGGCACAATACTGCGATGCAAAAAACGGGGATGAGAGTGTTTTCTTTTTCCCCAGTTCAAAAGTTAACCAAATCTTACTTATTCATTTAGCTAATTAGCATGTTTTTTGCCATCCGTGATGTCTGCCGTGGTTGACTGTTTGTTTCCGAAAAAAAGTCCCGTTCACTGCTTGGTTCGCTTTTCTAGCGTACATATGCGTGATTGTAAGCGGGTTCTGTGATTGTGCTTGTTTTTATTTTTTCTACTGTTGATGATGTGTCTGCCAACTGTTTTCCTTTCTCATTGCCGGATGCGCTGCACTTTCTTGCTTTTGTCTCACGCCGGCTGTGAGTCACGTGCATCAGTTGTAACAGTCTGCAAAATTGTGGCTTATTTATTTTGTTCGTTACAGTTACCAATGTTTATTGTACTCTATATTTTGGCCTCGAAACCCAGTCGTTTTTTGTTTGTTGTAGTACGTTTTTGCAACCGGCGACGTCCCCCGTGGTTGACTGTTTATTTTCGGAAAGAGTCCTTCTTTTTAAAGCCTTTGCTGAAACATTCTGTAAAATGTAAATTGAAGAGCAAATGTATTTATTCATGAAATCCCTACCAAGAAGAAAACATATACACAGGTCCATACGACCTATCTGTCATAATACCACTGAAATAACTATGACATATTATACGTACGCCTTTTCCCAATAAAGAAAAAAATGCGCAGGTTAAAGCAATAATTCAATCATGGTCGTCTACCATATTTTCCAGGTCAGATGGCACATACGTGGCATTGTGTGCTTTCACCTACTTTCAATCGGTTTCCACTTATCGATATTTTAATTAAATGAACGTGGCGCAGTAGCCACTCGTGTTGAGTATTGGATGTGTCTACCCCGGGCATAAGATAAGGGGATCGCGTTAAACCACTTGAAATTGTGAAGATCGATAGTAGAACTGCTTAATTCTTAGATTTTTCTTTATATAAGTCTACCGTATTGTATTATGAGACATATCGTGTCGGTGTATATGGTTTTGTCAGTAGGGATTACTTTCATTGGATTACCTGCAAGGGATCTGTTTAGGTACGCATTACATGAGGGGATGTTTGGCAATGCCCAAATTTATCGCCCTGGCGTGCTTTTTTTGTTTTTTTTGTTTGTTTATTGAGTACATATTTTTCTCGGCGAATCTGCTTCTCTGGAAAGAAGTGGTGTCGCTATCGGTAATCAAGAATCTCAAACCTTCGCATTCCCTCGCCACCGCTATGGTCAGTTACAGGCTAAGAAAAGCTTTTGAGGGAAAGGAAGGCTGAGGAGGAGGAAGCAGACGGAACGCTGGAGAGAGGAGGAAGTTTCCTTCTCTCGAGCATTCCGTCTGCTTTCTCCTCGTCAGCCCTCCTTTCCCTCGAATACTTTTTTTAACCTGTAACCGACTACGTCGAGCGTGTGTGTGTGTAAGCGGTGTATGAAGATGTTAGGGGGGAAAAGTTTTCGATGGAAAGGCTCCACGCTTTAGGGCAGTGATTTCCCACCTCATAGGGAAGCATACAGCCCCCGCCTAGTTTGTTCGAGGCCACCCCCTTAAAATATATTTCGCTGAATACGAGAGAAAAAAAAAAGAAAAGAAAAAAAAAAACACAACACACACAAAAAACCACCCCCTAAAACGGACAGAACATTTTAGTTGTTCTCTGTCTTTTTTTTTTCTTTTTTGTTTTTGTTTCTATGTCTGAGTGTTACTATGGATGCCAATATTTATCTTGCGCGAAATCGTCGTCGAGCGTGCCGGCTCAAAAGTGCCTCTTATGTGGAGCTAACGTCACGGCGACCTCGGAGCACGAGCCGTTTCGTCGCCTGGCTGCTTAGCCCCTTGGCTCTTCCTTCCCCTGACGCGAAGGAGAACGGAGGAGAGGTTTGCACGCTTTCTTTCGCATACCCTGTTAATAAAACTACAAAAAAAAAAAAGAATCTCGTGTGCATTAGGAAAGGGCGTGCAAGAGAAAAGTGGAGGGGAGAACTGACTCTTTCATTAATCGTATTTTTTTTGCAAGTAATTGCGTCGTGTGAAGTTTGCTCATAGAGCGGGAAGTTAACCAGCCTCAATGGGCGTCTCGTGTCTCGCCGCAGACGAGAGCAAGTGCAGTACGACTGCTCGTATCATGCGGGTAATTGGTTCAACCGGTCATAGCGCAAAGAAGACCGCGGAGATACACTTTTGCCACTGCTTGGCTGACTCAAACCGATTGTGGAGTCGACTGAGGTGTCCCGAACAGAGACTCGTGGCGATTGTCTCGGTTCGCGACTGGGTTTTATCGCAAAGTGGACAGCTCCGATATGCACCTTCAGCGCGTCTCATTCACTGTTGAGCATGCGTGGTTTGACAATTTCTGGTACGTTTGATTATTGTGTTTGTGCGTTCAGATCAGCTGCGCACGAGCGTGTGTTTCACAACATTAGTCCACGTGTACATATGTGTGTACCGGTGCGGTGGTGTGCGGTTGTTGCTACTTTTGTCGCTTTGTTCTCGGTATTTTGCCGCATATACTTGCCCGTTTACTGCTTCACGTTTTCCTTCGTCTCACTTTCTTCGTTCGTAAGTTCAAATATTTTTTGACGTCACCTTAAAAGAAAAAAGTTCCCTTAAACGCTAGAGTCGGTGACGTGTTAAGACTAAAGTGGAAGCTCCTCCCACCCCTTTTTACTTTAGCAGAGCGAAGGCTAGGGAGGAGGCGACCTCCTCTCCAGCGTCCGCTCTAGCTGCTAAAGTGGAAAGAGGGGGAGGAACTTCCACTTCATTCTCAACCTGTCACCGACTCTAGAATAATTAATTTTTGTCTCCAAACCAATGAAAAAGTTAAAGCATAAGCACATGCCATATTTCTAATTAATAAGAAACATACAGAAAATTCAAATTTTGCTTCCAACTTTTGCTGAATATGTAACCAAAGATTGCATTTTATATTGTCATCGCCTTCGTTACGTCCAAAGACGGGCTGCGTCTAGAATTTATTGATACTAATCACCCCCCCCCCCCCTTTTTTTTTATACCGTGAGGTAACCTGTTCTCATATGTGTTCGCATCGCAAAGACCAAGGGTTTTGCTTTCGCCGACGATTCTTCGAAATAGTGGAAACTTCTTGTGCTGGTAGATTCGTCTTCGGTCGAATATATATCTGTGATTTACATTCATTGCGGTACCACAGTACTGATACCGTGATTGACATTTTCTGACCTTGCTTTACCTTATGTTTTTTTTTTAAAGAAAATTACGCAGTCATCAATAAATCTTTCATCTGTCATGTTCAATATAAAGTTCGAGAAACTCTGTCCGGCATCACGCAAACATCTCTGCCCCCACGCAAAAGAAAAAAAAAAAGAAATAAAGTGTATGTATATATTTATATATACTGTAAAAAAAAATAATGTAAATACAGAAAAGAACTTGCCTGCGTGTGCCTTGCTCTTCCAAGACCCCTAAAAATTCAGCCGACCCCCCCCCCCCCCCCCCCCCCCTAATTTGAATCCCTGAGGTTCCCATTTATCTATCGAAGCCGGTATAGTATACTTCTGTACGGCACTAATTTCTAGGATATCACGAATTAACCACTTCTACGCGTACGCACGCTGAAGGTGGCATCGCGGTCGTTTTCTGGGCAATGCGTCCAAAGCAATCACTTCGGCGAACTGTTTTGTGTTCTAGTCACTCACCCGATTTTAGAACTAAGCGGCGATCACGCATGTGCGCGCATTACTTATAGATACGCCTTTAAGATATGGGTTACAGAACCCAAGAGCAAACAAGAGAACAACGTGTTAGGAAAACTCGCGCATGTTCATACCATTCAAATTCTCAAAATCACAAATAATTGCCATATCCTGGCTTCTCCACACAAGAGAGAGCAAACAAACAAACAAACAAACGAACATACAAACAAAACAAACCATTTAAGTATCACCGATTGCTCATAAATAATCCAGATAGACGCTGACTGACACGTGCAAACAAAGGGAATACAAGCAATAAAAAACATGATCTTAACCCTAAGGAGGAGGTCGAGTAAGAATGTGCGCGCGACGGAGCAACGGTTATGTTCCTTTAATTGTATTTAAATAATGATCAATATTAATTACCGATATTGAATTAGAGAGGCTTACAAACTTCAGCTAAATTTAGCTAAACTGTGCTAGAGGCAGTGTCACGGTGGTCCCTGACGCTCTTACTTAATATTAGGCCGATGTCACGGAAGTCAGTCTTTAGCACACCGTGCGAAAGAACTAATGAGATGACCAGTTTTAGCCCACATCCATTTTGATTGAAACTCCGTGGGCATTCGAGACTAATAAGGGACCTAAACGGGCTAAAAGAATAAAATAGCATTCACTCACCAAGTATCCACACGTAAGTGAGAACTCTCCGTAGGCTGCAACTCCTCGAATGCATGATCCAACCACAAGCAAACAACACGCACAAGAACTAAGCCTTTCCAATTGCCAGCGACGCGGTCGGTTGTGTCACGAAAGCGCGGAGCGTCTGCTACAGCCGCCGCTCCCGTCGTCTGCTGTCGACAGCGAAGACTGAGCTCGGCCGCGCCGCCGCGCCCCCTAGGCCTCCCCTGTGCCGCCCGTCACCCAGACCGAGCGTGCGCCTGAAAAAAACCCCAGTAGACCCACCAAAACATTAGAGCCACCATCAAAAAGTTTGAAAAGCGAGAGTAACACTCATATAAAACACGGATTTGTCTTCGCAACAACACAGCCCTCCTGTGACTTGTCTGTTTGTTTGAGTTTGAGGAAAAAATGCGACAAAGTAATCACCTGTTCGCGAAGCGCAAGCGGGCGAATCAGGCGCTCTCGTTATAGGTCACTACAGGTAAACATTCCTTATTTTTTCTCGAATGGTATATGGAGAGCACAAACTTGCCTCTCAGGAATGTCTGCATTGGCGTGGCGGCGGATGTAAAGGTGACACGCAACTGTTAGATAATTGCGAGGGAATTACCCGAGCGAGCGATCCGCCGGCGACGCCACCTTGCTTGCCGTCACGAGATCAACCGGCTGCGTCGCTGCGTCACGGAGCGAATCCCATTCCAATATAAACAAAAAGATAAGGCCAACTCTATCGCAATGTTTGGACCACGCGATTCCGACAAGAAAGACAGAACTGGCGGAGAAGGAACTCTGATGTATATTATTTGGTATGCCGGTCCGGTGAACTTTTCGTACGAAACCACGGGGCGTCACGCGTGGAATTGCTGGCCTGTTTTCGCGTCGCCATATTGAGGCGCGAGTTTTGAGTGGGAATGGATTGCGCCCGTTTTGTGTACGTTCTTTCAGCGTCTTACGCTCCGTTGCAATGTTCGGAATTCCACAGCCCAGCATGCGATCTCCACAGCCCAGTACGGGAGAATTTTTTGTTTAGGAAAGCGATCTCAAAACGCCGAAAACGCCAAAGATTACACGAGATCGCGTGCACGGCGTGAACTGCCTGAGATTCCTTTGGCAGGTTGCGATTGTAACACAGAACGTGTGTATATGGGCTGGATTTCATGTGACAGCTTTGTCCTCGAGTGTAACAAAAAGCCGTTACACACACAGGCCAAGAAAGCATGAAGCATCCAGAGCCCATAACAGCAATGCATAAGTACCCCAAGCACATAGAAGTATATTTAGCGATACTTAAACCCGGTCAACGAGATTTACAAATCGACGCAGCTGGAATCGAACCCTCGAACCGTGCGATCTGTAATTTTGCTGGGCGCCACTGGGAGGAGTCGAATGCAGTAGGAAGAAGCTTGACTAAGCATGACTCATGGAACCGTATTATATGACTGTCGGCGCTCGCAGTCGGCTTCCGAATATCCACGTGATCTCCGGATGTCAGGGGTTCAAATTTACACTTCTCTCGATCCTTCTGATAACCCCAGAGAGTAAATGGGTGTGTTGTGCGTGCGTCGGATTCCAAAGTACACAAAGTATTCCGTATAGCGTTGACAGCGTCTGGATTTGAGGTGAAACGAAGTGGAATAGCGCACGAATATCGCATGTGCGGCACATTCTGCGCTCCCGGGCTTTCTCAGAATGACCGAGACCAATCGCATTGAGATTTCCGTCGTTGCGCAATTAAAACCGAGGTCGCACTGTCGCAGCGGCTCCGCAACAGGGTTTTACCAAGCTGGTGTCGCTGCGATCGCTGACTCGCCGACCAACAGCAAGCCTCGCGGTGGTGTGTCACATGACCGAAAGAGGCAAAGTAGCATCTAACCTGGTCGTCTGCTTGACACACGCATTGTGCTGTCAAAACATGTTTCTTAGTAATTTAAAAGAAAAAAAATCATAAATGTGGCAATGTGGGTTAGTTTGTTTATATTCGTAGACAAGCGCTTAAAAAAAAAGACAGAGACAAGGAGTTGGCGTAAACACTAGCGCACTCGCAAGTAACATTTATTAAAAAACCAATCTATTATAAAGTTGTGAGAAAACGTCGGTCATGACGAATTGTTCATATGTGACATTATGTCGTACACCTAATTAAAAAAAATTCATGAAGTCACCAAGGGCCCTTTTTTGTTGAACCTTTTCCTGAGCGACGACGTGAAAACCATGAGCGGGACGAGCCTCTGGAAAGAAGTGAGCAATGTCCTGAAAGTCGTCGATGAAGCCGGTACGGAAACAGAACGACGGCATTATCTAGAATAGTCCCAGTGTGGAAGGCTTCAAAGAACACAGAAGATGGTAACCTCGATATATTTTAGTGATTTCGATGTATTTGAGGGAACATTGCAGATCTATATTATTTAATACCCCAGCCATACGGCAACATTTTGTGGCATTTTTCTGGTTTCCAGCTAATGACATTATTCATTCCTGGCGCAGTGCAAGGCACGCGAGGCGCTCGTACTCGGGATCGCAAGCTGATTCGCCAATCGCTTTAAGCCATTCGATGGCATTAATGTTTTTGCCGTGTGGCCGGGGCACAAGTATTTTTGTATTGTTTATTATGAAATCGTTGTGTGTTTTGTTTCTACATTTTTATAATATGCCAACTTCTAATGCGCCTTATTATTGTTAGGAGCAAGGAGGTTCTCCGGGGTTGATGCGCAATTATGATCCAGAACAGGCCAGGAACCGAAGGGGCTCCGGGCGGGAAACTCGGATCTCTCCTCTAAACTCTGCTTACTTTACATATTTACGCAAGTATATAAATAATGAAAAAGTGCACGTTTGCAGCGGCCCACTGCCCCTTTTACTGGGTTTCTTTTTTCCACGTTCCTAGGGGGGGACTCAGTGTATATGCAAGCTTCTCGGTCAACGGTGGTGAAGCCATAGTCCCAAACGTTTAAGCACCGCCCTCCCCTGCACACACATGCGTCTTAAGGGCTGTCCAAACAGGACCCTACAAAAATCGTCAGGTAACACGACTCCTGCAAAAATCGTCAAAATTAAAGCTCCCGCTTCAATTTTGACAATATTTGCAGGAGTCGCGTGTCGCCTGACGATTTTTGTATACGGGTCCTTTTTGGACAGGCCTTTACACAGCAGCGTCACATACGTCCTTGTCACGGTGGAGCAGAGTCTCTCTTGAACAGTCACTGTAGCCGACGACGTCTGGACCCCTAAATAGGAGGCTTCCGAAGTCGAGACCTAATGCCACGAACCGGCTTCCTTGCTGGAAGAGACCAATGCCGGTGGCTTCCCGAGCGGGAGGAGGCCGGCTGTCATCCTCCTTGTCCAGGTGCGTCTCGCCACCAACGTCGCCACAGTCTTTCAGAAAAGTATATCGTCTAACCATCATGAATCAGAACAACGCAGGCAACTCTTCGAACGACGACGGAACATTGTCCGCCTTTCACCATTCTGGGCGAAACATTCTCGAGCCTGATTCTTCCAGCTGGCAGCTCCATCTCGTTTGTGGTGCATACAACCCGGGCCTTTTGCTATTATCATATGATTCCTATTCTTTTCTCAGAAGTGGCTAATGAGCTGCAACACTGTGACAACACCTTTTTACTTACGACGCCTGACTCTATGAAAAAAGATGACCTCGAAGGACGAAGCCAGCATTTGGTCCTTTCAACTCCCATTTGCTCCCCCAAAAGATAACCTGGTTCGCACTAAGTACCGTGCGCAAAAAGCTGGGGTCTAACTTCACTCGACTGAGATTAACCGACAGGCGTGCTCAAGCAAAATCATCCCTTATGGTGACTGGATCGATTTCCGAAATCCGCGAAGGAGGTGAAAACCCGCTCCATTCGGCACGCTCTGGATCTACCAGGTGCCAGCGCGCATTTGGAGCGGCCCAACATCCAACAGACGGGAACGGAAACGGAAGGACGCCCTTCCCGTGAACCTCTAGCAGCATACCCTCCCGTCTCCCGTGCACGATTCTCGCGTTTCTCCCTAGCGCAAACGACATGAGCATGGCTTATCCCGCACAACTGTCGACTGTCGAATCCGACCGTGCGCCAACTGCCGCTGTCACTTCTCGGAGGACGTGGGGCAGCTCGAATTTGGATTGCTAGAGCTCTATGAAGCGTCGCTTTCACTTAACAGGAGCACCGACGCACGCAAGGTCGGTCCCGCCACTGACGCCATTTCGCACAACAGCGCGACCCACTCGAGGGCCTGCCGCGCAGCGCAGCGCCAAGAAAGGAAGTGACGTCGCGCGCTGCAGCCGGGCACCACTCGACTTCCGCAAAGCTCGCCCGAATTCGGCGGAGCAGTTTCGGCGCCGTTTGATGCGCTCCACAGAGCTGTTTGATGCGCTCCACAGAGCTCGCGCTGCCACAAATCTGCGAGCTGAAGATGGCTAACTTGATCCGAATCCGTGAGGTGAAGATGCGCGCCCCAAAAAGGAGCGGGTTTTGAGCGCGCCAGATCTTCCAGCTCAATTCACCATTAGTCATACTCAGACAGGGTGCATCTGCAAGTTTTAGGCCCCGAAGGCAAACTGAATACTCGCCAGGAAGAGAGCTGATATTTCGCTCGCCTTTGGGGGAGCGGCGCTACTCAACCGAGCACGGCTGAAAGTGTTAACCAACTCCGACGAAACTGGGGAATTTCTTTAATGTGCAACGATCGTTCAGACACTACATGGCACACTTACCTTCGCACGTTGTGTGAATGGGAGTCAACATTTGTGTTCACTCGTGTTCACCTATCTCTTTATCAATGTTGCGTTGACATTTAACAAATCTCATCAACGTAATTTGCCCTCGCGCGAACATATAAACAGTTATCCGAGCGGAACATCTCTGAAAATTAACTCAGATTGTTTTCTTAAAATTAAACAACTAAAACAAATTGAACAAAGTTAAACATATAACAAGTGTCTGTACAAGACGCGCTTTTATGACAGGAGTCTCGCAGTAACAGTAAATGGGCGCCTTGATAACTAAAACTGAGTTACTGATAGCAACCCGAGACTCGTCTCTGCGTCTCCCCGTGACCAACCTCTCTGGGCAGTCCAATGTCAAACTAAAGGAGGCTATGGTTTGACGTCAAACTCAAATGCCGCGACGACAGAGTTGATGGACGGCACGCTCCACTCAGAAAGCACATTCAGGAGCAATATTCAGTCACCTTTAAGGCCTGTTCCCACACGCAGCGGAGCGCTCCAAGCATAGCGCTTACCTCGCGCTAAGCGCGTGCTAATGGGAGCGTTCACCAGCTTTGTATCGCACCGTCAATACTGTTGCTCATGGCAGACGATAAGTAGCTGACGGCACGTGAGGAGCGCTACATCAGCACTTCGCTGCATGTGAGAACCGGCCTTTATGCCGTCGTCGCTGTTTCACATTACATTCCAGATAATATTGGTTAAAGGCCGACGTACAACCTCGGATTTCTGCAGGGAAGATAATCCTCTTAGCGCTCCCCTCTCCTAAGCTGCGAAAGGAGCCAAGTTGGGCCAAGGTAAAATGTGGAGAGGATATAGGAGAGAAGGAGGCTGGCAAAAGTGGAGAGCGCGAAGTGTACGTCGGCCTTTAAGGTGAGCGTGTTGTGATTATGAATACTTGAAATAGAAAGAATAAAAACACAAAGAACTTTCACAGACAACCACACTCTTTCATTTAGCAACGACGAGTGCTTATTTCGGGGCGCGAAAAATTCACGCGTTGACC